GCTACAAAGCTAAAGCAGCTAACAAGCAGTGTTAGGCCGATACATGCTGATGTTATCGAATATTGCGGTTATTGAGTGTCGATGTTATGCCAATTATAATCTTTATAATTCTTCTCTTTCACATTTCACATGATTTTTTTAATACCTCGCCTTCACCGTAGGGTTACTACGTGTACTACAGTACACGACTTTTAAAGTCTTAACAGATTATTAACAGATTGGGGATCTCACACTATACTCACTGCACTCGCGCAAAAGCACGCGAAATCATTCAACTCGCGCAAAATCATGCGAATTCACTGAACTTGTGCGAACTCACTAAACTCGCGCAAACTCACTGAACTTGTGAGAAATCATGGGAACTCACTGAACTCACGCAAACTTACTGAACTCACAAACTCACGCAATCCCAGGCGAACTGACGTGAACTCACGCAAACTTGCTCAAACTCACGCAATCTCATGCGAACTCACGTGAACTGACGCGAACTCACGCAAACTCGCGCATTCTCCCGTACCAGAAGACGCAAATAAACAAACATAGATCTGCTCGCTGCTGATGCTGTTTGCGCTGACACAGTAAAGAAGCAGCAGGTAAACATGTTTAAGTGGGTCATGGATTTAAAAAAGCAACCAGTTTGGTATTTTTAGAGTTTTAAATGTACATAAACTCGATTGAGCTCATTAAAAAGCTTCGCTGCACAGGTGAGATCTTCCAGTACAGAGTACAGAGTACAGAGTAAAATGGACGAGCAGTACAGAGTAAAATGGACGAGCCTGATCAGAGAAGAGCCAATGGGACAGTTTAGCAGTATTTTGGTTTCCAACCAAACAAAGATGAAGCACTGAGTGTTAACAACAGTGTTACATGCAGCGCTTTTTACAGGCGTGCTGCCAGTTGATAAGACACAGGTGCTCATCGTCCGGGTAACGGGGTGAGGAACGCCTGGGACTGAGAGCGTGACCCCATTAAGGGGTCAAAGGGCCCGGGCGGTGACCTCAGTGTGTCGCACTCTAACCTCATCCAGCTGTGCTGCTGTTCCAGGACCGCACGTGTACATAGATTAAAGTAAACAGCTGCACTTCTCTAAACAACACCGAGCTGCAGTGAAACCCTCACCAAAACATTCCAGCAGGGAGGGGAAGACACGACGAAGAGCGAAAAAGAGAAAGAGGAAAATGAAGGAATAACAGAGGATAACAAAAAAATAAAAAGAAAACACTCTGATACCCGTCTCAACTCTCTGCTGCTCTCTCTCTCTCTCTCTCAGGGCTGAACAATTAATCGGTTTTATATTGAAATAGTTACATTTCTCTGATTTAATTATATCCTAATATTCAATGTTTTCCGCAGCGCTTCAATCAGCCAGCAAGACTCAGGTCTGTATAAACATCTGTGCTGAACTCATGTGCTCTCTCTCTCTCTCTCTCTCTGTTTCTTCCTCTTTACCTCTGTCTCTCTCTATATATCTGTCTCAGCCTCTTTCTCTCTCTCTCTCTTTACCTCTGTCTATCCTCTCTCTCTCTGTCTCTTTCACTGTCCCTCTCTCTCTCTCTCAGCCTCTTTCTCTCTTTAACTATCTATCCATCTCTCACCCCTCTCTCTCTCTTTCTCTATCTCTGTGTATCTCTCTCTCTCTTTTTATCTGTCTTTCTTTTTCTCTCAATCCCTCTCTCTATCTGTCTCTCTCTATATATCTGTCTCAGCCTTTCTCTCTCTCCTACCACTGTCTATCCATCTTTCTCTCTCTATCTCTGTATCTCTCTCAGCCTCTTTCTCCCTCTCTCTCTCTTTATCTCTCTCTGTCTCTTTTTTCTCTCAATCCCTCTCTCTGTCTGTCTATCTCTCTATATCGATCTTAGCCTCTTTCTCTCTCTCTTTACCTGTGTCTATCCATCTCTCTCAGCCTCTTTCTCTCTCTTTACTTCTGTCTATCCATCTCTGTATCTCTCTCTCAGCCTCTTTCTCTCTCTTTACCTCTGTCTATCCATCTCTCTCTCTCTATCTCTGTATCTCTCTCTCAGCCTCGTTCTCTCTCTTTCTGTCTCTGTCTCTCTCTGTCTCCATCTCTCTCTTTCTCTATCTGGCTCTCCCTTTCTCTCTCTCTGTCTCTCTCTCTGTATCTCTCTCTCTGATGGTGGGAATAAGACAGTGATTAAGAAAGACTCTGTTCGACCCGGTGCTAAAAATAACCCTGTTTATTTAAGAGTCCTGCCAGGCATTCCACAGACAGCGGACTGAGGAGAGGACAGAGCGCTGCAGGACAGCAGGACAGCCCTGTGTGTGTGTGTGTGCGCGCGCACTGTACGTGGTAGTCACTCTGAGTCACTGTCCTCCGGCTGTCTGTACGTGCTGTATGTCCTGTCTGGACTCACCCGCTGATTTGCATCCTCATTTACGTAACACACAGTTCCTCTGTTAAAGGGGTGGGGGTTGAGTGGGGGCGGGGTGGGCGGGTAACTCACCTGAGCATATTTTATAAAGAGCGTGAGTTATCAACTGACTAAACCACACCTGACATACAACCAGTAATAAAGACTTTATCGCCCTTAGTAACACTAGTAATAACAGCTTTACGTCACAGAGGGCTGGACTACATCACAATACTGTAAAAGTGTGTCACAATCAGCTTTTACAGTATATCAATTATTTCAACACTGTCCAACTGCAGGTTTCACCACAAAGACAGCATAATTAGGCCAGTTGAATAGGATTCAGTGCAGCACAGAATGTGAAACGGGATGTTTTACTTTTGCCATATTGCACTACATTCACTGCTGTCCAAAAGTGGCGCTGTGTTCAAATGTTTTCAAAAGCTGTGGAATTGAATCTGGATTTTTAAAGGCCTGGAATCGGAGAATCGACTCTTTTGTGATTGTCTAGTCTAAAGTACCGGCCACCCTTTAGACTAGAGCTCAACAGATCTGAAAACTGATGCTAATTTCAAAGGGCTAAAATTGTGACAACCTATCTACAGCTATAGGTTTAAATCTGTACTCCAACATTTATACAGCAATATATTTTCTTAAGAGCCATCAGTTACCAAGAAAACATAAGTAAATATATCCTCCAATAGCTTTAGTGAAACACTCCTTTACTGATAGATATGACTGTCAGTTGTCAAACTTTTCTGTGATCAATATTTTATTAATAAGTGAATATACAGATCACGAGAACTAAATTCACGAAGCCCAGAATTCTTCAGAATAGATATTAACAGTTACTATTAGATACCAATAGTAGTTAATGATGTTAATGATGACAGAAGTAACTGTCAAACTTTTTAAACCTGAAAATAATCAACAGAACCAAATCAAGCAGTTTTGCTTTCTGTTAATCGTCTCTTATTGTTCTTGTTTTTATAAGCTCTTTTGACAGAATCTCAGCTTTTCTCAAAAGCTGAAGATCATATATATTTTTAACTTTTTAATCTTTGTTATTCTAACCACGTTGGTACGAGTGGCGCAGCGGGTAGCGCTGTCACCTCACAGGACCCCAGGTTTGAACGTACATGTCTATGTGTCTGCCCTGCGATGGACCGGTGACCTGTCTTGTCTTCTACCCAATGAATGCTGGGATAGGCTCCAGCATCCTCCGCAACCCAGAAGGACAAGTGGCTTAGAAGATGGATGGACAACCCATTTTGGTGTTTTGTGTTTGAATTCACCAGTTCAGACTGTACTGCTGTTATACAGGTAATAAGGGAGTTACTACATGTGTATTACTTATATCAGATGGCCTCAGTGGCACAACAGCCTAAGCTTTTGCTCTTGTCATGGGGAGACTGAATCCTCGTGATGCAGTCGCTCTTATTAGCGATGCTTTTGTCACTATCAATAAAACCACAGATCGTCAATATCAGCCGCTTTATTTGACTGAAATGCACTGCTATAGGAATTGTGGGCCAATACAGATTCACCCATATCACACATAGACACTTATAAAATGGAGAAATGGGATTAAATCCACCTGGCTTGGAATCAGAAATATATACTTAATTTGCAGAAGGTTACAAATGCACTGCGATGAAAAAAGCAGATATTTTAGCACAGTGACCCAAACATCATGCTCTTCCAGAGTTCAATAAACATATAATCAAATGGCTGCTGTCAGAAGAAAACCTCATATCTCTATTTTTGACATTTTTCAGTTTTTTACATAATTTGAAAACACCTGTTACCCTTTACATCGTATGTCAATTTCATGATGAATGGACTAAAAGAAACGGCCCAAAATGACTTGGATAAAAGTCTGGCTCCATTGACTTACATTAAAAGTACAGTAGGTTTTTTCCTTCTCCTGTGAAGTTACCATTTTGGAGATACAAGGTTTCCTTCCAACAACAGTGATATATTGGTTTAAAAATGTGTCAAATCTAAACTGATATTTTTAAGCAATTATCTGCAAAATCACTCTGAAATGACTCTGATAGCACTGTGCATTCCTAATTTGTACCGATATATCGCTCTGGCCCTTCTCCAGACTCCTGAGGTCTGTTAAAGCTGGAGAAGACGCTGTATATTTGGGTAATATTAACAGTAAAAGGAAGTAGAAGATCTGTGGGTAGATAAACCATCTGTATTACTCCCTCAGAGGATCAGGGGAATTCTTCAGACTTTCGATATCCAAACAAGCACACACACAAGGTCCACTTCTCCAACATCACAAACTTTCAGCATGACTAGCAACAGGAAGAAACATGCAAAGCACATGCTGTATAAACCCACAAACACCACATGATTCTACAACACAAATACACACGAGACAGAACGTGCAGGGAACCAAAACATCTGGACAAATTTGACCTAAAAACAATATTTAGGACTTTTCAGGCCCCGTGACGCTGTACGCTGTGCGTACATCCTGGTCCACGCTTAATCATAAAATCTCTTTTGCATCATGTTCCCATTAACAGAGCAGACATGGTTGGACAAGTGGGCACCATAAAACTGAGCTCTACCTGAACACTCACTGTGAAATGACAAATATGGTGAACTCACCTGGGCGTGCCATTGGCTGATTGCGTAGGCTGAGAAAGAGTCACTTCCAGTTGGCCCTGTAAAGCAGGAAGGAGAAAACAGAGGGATCAGGAGTTTGTCTTCTAGTCTAACTAATAAATCCGCTGATCGGCTGTTCAGTCAAGCACCAGTAACTGTAACTGGTCTGAAGTTTGTCTGGTGGTTTAACTCAATGAACCAGCATTCAGACCAGATCTTATCTAAGTCCTCAATACTAGCTTTCAGTCAAGAGTCTGTCTCCTGATCTAATAATGAATTGTCCATTTGAGAGAGTAACTGCTGGTCTAACTCCTCAACACACCCTTGTCTTCAGTGCAGACAGCCTCCCTTGGTGAACTTTGTATACTGATAAGAAATACGAAGTACTGATGTAGTGAAATGAAAATTCTTGACCGAAACTGAAATTCAGGGTTCTTTAATACATAACTTTCTGTTTTATCTATGCTGTTGATCAAACCCCTTAAAATCCCAGGCTTATTACATACTAAACCTTAGTATTCAGTAACTACAGGGACTTCAGTGCAAACTAGCTGAGCTATTCTTATGTTATAGAAGTGTGTAATAAAACGTTTGGCCATTTAAGAGGTTAATAAAGTAATCCTGACAATGTATCAAAGGCGATTACTGCCATGTTGAGAAAGAACAATGAGAGAACTAGAGGACTAATTTCATTTTAGACAGTTTGCTATGTAATATATTAAATATTTAAAGCTGTCAAATTATATATACACTATTTAATGGTTTCCCAAAAGCATCTAAAGCTGAGATCCTGAGCGCCTCCACTATAACGACAGAAAACACCTTGTGTTTTACTACGTAAAGCATGTGGACGTGGCTTTGGAACTCCCATCTAGCAGTCTGCAGTTTCTCCAGCAGGGGGTGCTATGAACATATGAGTCACTTTACTTTTGTCAGAACTGAAAAGTGAACAAAACAGTCCTAAACCCCAGCAGGATCTACTGAACGCACATGTTTGGAGTGTCATCTTTTAAAAATAAAGGCAAAAAAGAAAAAAAAGTTTGTTATCAAAAGATAAAGAAGTAACTCAGTATATAGTACAGTATATAGTACAGTACATATACAGTACATATCGATAATATGACTCCCATTAAAGCTCTTCATTAAATCAGTTAAGGTTAAATCTATATAGAATGCTGCAGAAAACAAACAGCGGTTTTTATCCGTATGTCTCATTTTCACTGCCTTCGAAATTGTTCAGCGAGTGTTGGATTTTGACTCTTCATTGTAATATTTTAAGGTTTTTGTTTCGGTCCAAATTTTCAGGCTTTTTTTCTCTGTCAGCCAAAAACAAAAGTGCCATTGTCGACCATTTTTGGGGAAAAAGTTTCACTGGCCGAAATGTCGCTGCATAATAAGAAAACATAAGTTGTTTTCCAGAAATCTTTTACATCAAATTATTCAAATCAAAAGACTCAAAAACCGAGACCAGCCCAGAGAACTAATACACAAAGCCAGCATCCAGTACGGGGGTTCAAAGTTCAGTCCAGAGAACATTTCCTTAATCATCAAAGCTAATCTTCAGTCTAGAGACTCTCTCCTGCTCTAACTAATCAAAACCAAAGTTCAGTCAAAGTACTGCATCGAGTTGTATACGGCATAAAAGGATGTAGAGGTTTATCCAGAGATAATCCTTCTATAGTTTACCACAAACTTTCAAAATACAGAAACAAAACTCGAACCTCTGATCAGTCCAGAGAACCGTTCCTTGTTCACTCAAAGCAAATTCTGGTGTTTGTTATTCATCCAAACTATTCAACTCAGGGACTACATGTTGGCCTAACTAACCAAGTCTGACATTCACTTGAGATTCACGATCTGCCTCCAAGTGTTCCTCACAAAGTTAGCATCTAGTCCTGAGAGTAACTCCTGGTCTAACTCCTCAAACTCTAGAAACAGTTTGAAAAGCGTCTTATCAATCTAAGCAAAGTGACCAAAACTCTAGTGTTTGGTCCTAAATCCAGAAGTCCTGGTCTAACTTCTAAAAATGAGTTTTCAGTTTCCTGGTCTAACTTACCTAAACCGGTGTCCAGTTCAGAGAAGAGCTGGTGTTCAGTTCAAGAGGTCTGCTCGGTCTAACTAATCAAAAGGTCAGTCAAGAAAGTGCCTGATACTAACGCTGACATGAAATAAACAGTAAAAGGAAGTCATTTTTTCCAGAGAGAGTAGAAAACCCCTCTTTAGCTCTCCCACATACGACCAGGGGAAATCCTCACCTCTGATTTTCAAGCTCCAAAGAAATAGCGTCAGCATGTCTGATCTGTCGGCAGAAGGTTCTCTGGTCAAACTCCACAGTGTAAACTCTGAAAAGAGTGATACTCATCCAAACTAGCACTCTAACTATTCAAATCTGGTGTTCAGTGAAGACTCTGATAATCAGTCTAACTCTAGTTTAACCCTCCTGTTCTGTTCAGCTGTAAGGAACAGCAGTAATGTTCCCAGGTCAAACTGACCCGGTGCATGTTTAACCATCCGAAAGCAGTTAAAATATATATTTTTTGCCATAAACATTATCGTTAGCGCAATTAATATCAATTTAACCAATATTTAGTGTAATCAAGTTTTTCACCCTTTACAGATCATGGCTTACTTAAACTAATTCACCAATTTTTTCATTAAAAATGTAGACTTTTTCAACATTTCGCATATATTTGACATTGAGGATTGTTGTTTAATACAAACAAAACATATCGTCTGTTTCAGGCCGAAACTGACCCTTTCACACTAAATGAGCCACAAGTCCAGCTGAAAAGGGTTTCACACGTCCAAAAATGATAAAAAAATTATATATTTTTCCCGTTTTTTAAAACTTTGAAACGGGTCGTTTTGACCCGCGACATAACAGAAGAGTTAAGAGATTGTCTTCTGATTGTTTGACCCCTTAAAATCCCAGGCTTATTACATACTAATGCGTATTATTCAGTAACTAGAGGGACGTCAATGCAAACTGGCTGAGCTATTCTTCGGTAATAGAAGCATGTAATAAAACTCTGGGCCCACTGCTGGCCTTTTAAGAGGTTAGTTCACAAAAGCAGCATCCCGTCCAGAGAGTACCTCCTGCTGAAAACACTGATGTTCAGCTCAAGAAGCCTTATCTAACTAATCAAAACCATAGGTCAGTAAGGAAAGTCCCTCGTTTTGTATGCTGACATGAACAGAAAAAGGAAGTTGTTTTTCCAGGGAGAATTGAAAACCCCATTACAGTTCTCCCACACCAGACAGGGAAAGTTTTCAAATTCCAACAACTTGTCTGAAAACCTCTAAAGCACATGTGTCAGCCAACAGTCCTCATGGGTCAAAACACTGCAGACTTCAGCACATCTGATTCAGCTTATCGGCTGATTAGCAAGGCCTTCATGAACTGAATTCAGAGAGTTAGATGAGAGTAAAGGTTGCTCTCCACAGCACTTTAGCCTGGAAGGTCCCCAGTTTGACATGCCTGCTCTACAGAGTCTAGAGGACGTCTGCAGGTCTGATTTCTCAAAGTAAACTGGCATTTAGGCCAAACAAGCAAACTAACATTGAATTCAGAGACTGTATTGTAGTGTCTGGTGTGTTAAAGTGTGTCTTCTGGTGTAACTTATCAAAACTGGTGTTCAGTCTAGAGAGTAACTTCTAGTCTAACTCCAGAGAACAGAGCTAATCCAGAGAATGTTTTCTGGTCTACACACAGCAACACCAACTCAATCCATAGACCAGTCTTCCTTAACTAGCTTCCAACTCTTCAAAACTAGCTTCTGATGGAAAGTGTCTCCTGGTCTAACTCATCAACACTGGTACCCAGTCGAGAGGGTAACACAGACTGAGTTCACGAGGTCAACAAAGTGCCCTCCCACCCAATTATATAAGGCCTAATGATGTGAAATAAACAGTAAAAAGGAAGTCGTTTTTCCAGAAAGAGCAGAAAATGCCTCAACAGCTTGTCCCACACAAGGCCGGGGAAGTTTCTACCTCAGACAGAGAGTGTTGGCTGGTCTTGAGAGTCCCCTGGTGTAACTCATTTAATTTCCCACATCCCCTACTCTTATCTTCTCTAAATCTACTCAGAATAATGAGCACCACTCACCATTTCATCTGATATTTCACCACCAGTTTCATTGTCATAAACGTCCTCTGTTTACAAAGAGCTATATGTCTGGGAAGTTCAACAAGCATCAAAGAGGAACTTGAAACTGCATGACACAGCTTGATTTTTTATGTTGGACTTGAGGGATAAAAAAAAAACGTGTCCTCAATTACTGAGGTGCATTGAGGTCATTCTCAGCAGTGAACCAGCTTTTAACCCTCATTCTGTGGGATTAAGTTCGCCCAAAAATCTAAGGCTACGTTCACTCAGCAGGTAAAAGTGGCCCAAATCTGATTTTCTCACCAAATCTGTTTTTTTTTTGTTTGTCTGTTCACAATATCTTTTAAATGTGACCTGTATGTGCCATCAGTCTGAACAGATCACGTTTCTAAACTGACCTGCATGAGCAAAAGAACAATGCTTCACGTTGCTTCACGTGGCTCATCCAAAGGTAAACAATCATAACTGCCAACGAACACCAGTCGCTCTCGGAGGGTTCAGCTTCAGCTTCGCCAGCATCACAGGAGCCATCATGAAGCTTCACTGACTGACAGCTGGGCTTATCACCCAGAATGTGTTCGATCTTGCTGTAAAAAGGACTCGGTCACTTCTTTGGTTCGTGTCCTCAGATTCTTTAAACTTTGCTCTCAGACTTTTAACTGTTTTTTATTCGGCCATTTCTTTTGAAATCTCTTTGAACACGGAGGGTTTTGGACAGAAACATCACCCCAAATGTTCATGAGGACTCAAAATTATGACAAATGTGGAGCTGGACTGACGTAAAAGTCATGGATTCCGATCTGGCTGTTCAGACTGAGTCGTGTTGCCGCATATCAGATACGTATCAGATTTCAGCACCACATATGAAAGCGTCTTAAATCAGAATTGAAAATGTCAGATTCAGTGTGTTTTTGCTGATCACACTGACACACATCTGTGTCACATATGAAGAAA